TACAAGGGACTAATTTTTATTGAAAATCTGTCTAATCATTTTTTAGTGAAATTCTCTCATCCTATCCTATCCATATATATATATATATATATAAAATATTAAAATGTAAGATCTTATTTATGGTGTTTAATATCATTTGAACTAAATTTTTTTTAACAATTTAAATTGGAGATTTCTGGTCTCATTTGTTTTTGGAATAAAACTTTGGTTATAAGGATTTATGTTTTATAACTTTATATCCCAGGAGAAGAAAGACTTCTGCAAATTCATGCGCCAATCGAGGGGAAAAAATAGGTTTAACGCCTCGTCAACATATATAGAGAAGGTTTTATATTTATATAAGAAAAATGTTATCAATAAACTTATATATACTTTTTAACACATTTTTAGTATTATTTTATAAGATTTGTGTGAAATTCATTAAATAAAGAATGAAATTCATATTATTTAATAATAAAACCCATATAAATTATATTTAATAATAAAATACATAAAAATATTTTATAGTATTTTTCACAAATAAAGTTATAATATATGGAACTGTTGATATGTAAGTAAAATCTCACATCATTCAAACAAAAAAATAATTATAAATTTATATACACACAATTATCTTCAAGAGATTTGTTTGAGTAGTGTTCAAAAAATAAGAGCCGAAAGAGGAAAATATCTATATGTGTGGGAACCCTGTGTCCCCAAGCCGAACAGACACACACCCCTGGCCTACGTTATTCACGTTAATTTGATCTTTCTAATTCTAACACGTGATGCACATCCATCATCTTCGCGTGCACGATGGGTTAACCATGTCTGACGGACCACCCACGTCGGTCGAGCTCAAGTATGAAAACAAACTGGGTATAATTTTTTTTAATGATAATTAATTAGATAAATTCCACGGTGGTCCATCTCATTGTATACAGTTTTGTCCACAACTTTTATGTACCGTTACATCTATTTAATCTTTAAATAATATTCTACATCTTTCATACTTAATCATTCTCACCATCAAAACTCAACTCTTTAATCATCCTTATGCTTGGAACAACAGCAAATTGAGAGAGTCACCTATGATCTAGTTCATGTGTTTCTAGGCTACCTAGGATGTGTTTGGTTTTAGAAAATATTTTCTATTTTTATTTTTAAAAAATAATTTTTATTTTCTAAATTTAAAATTTTAAAAACATGTTTGCCTCAACTATTTTTTAATAAGAATTTATAAAATATTTTTTGATATAAAATTTACAATCAAAATTACCCTCTATATATGAATTAGAATAATATTTTGTTTTGTAAATATTTTGTTCTTTTCACAATATTTTATATTTATTTTTATTTGAATACTCTTATCTTATAATAGGTAAATTTCACTCTAAAAATGTATAAATATTCCTTATATTTTTTTTTATCAAATGAACAATTTATTATTTAACGAGTAATAGTTGTATATCAAAATAAAATATATATTTTATCTTTATAAATGATATATATATATATATATATATAATTGATACTACTTATCTTAAAATATAGCAACCAAAACTTAATCATACAAAGTATTAATCATATTTAATAAATAATATTTAATTAAAATAATTTAATAATATAAACAACATATGTAATTAAAATTTTATAGAATAATTATATCTAATAAATTTTATAATATTAATATATATAATACATTTGCAAACATTAAATAAAACTTCTCTATACACAAAAGAAAATATAACACAGATTGATTGAATTACATGTATAAAAAAAATAAGCTTATTGAATTATGTGTACAAGGTAGTAAACTTAGAAGTAAGTTCATAAATTTTTTTAATAATTACCATCGCATGTCTTCACATTTTCAAAAGTGCAGAAAATAGTGAATATGACATTTTTGGACTTCTTTTGAAAATGTTTTTAAAGAAAACCTTTTCTAAAATTAAAAGCAAACACATTTTATTTTCTATTTTCTATGAAAATGAAAATATATAGAAAACGGTGAAACCAAATAGACCCTTATATTTGAAGTGCCTTTGACAATATTAGAGATTGATATCACACACATATAGTATCAGAAGCATGAGTCAGCTAAAGTTTTTTAGAATGTTATAATAGATATTGATATCAGTGTGTTCAATGTGCATCACTAATAGATGTTTGAGTTGGCTTGAATGATGATGTGTATGTTTTTAGATGTTATCCTTATCTTTTATGTGAGACATTCTCACTCCTCTTATTGTTGTAGTGGTTGTTTTTCTTGCTTAGACCGGACTCTATGTAAGCGTTAATCTGGTAGATGAGGTTGTGCACGAGGAAGACACAACTTGAGACTTCAGTTTGGGTTATGAGTCTTAATTACTTTGATTATTGTGACATTGAAGTTAGAGGATATTTATGTTATTTTATGTATTTTATTAGAACCATGTCCTTAGTATTATGTTTATTATGTTTTATTTTCTTGAGGTTTTGAAAGGTTGATTTATGTCTTCGTTTGCAAGTTTATTTATTATTTTATTTTATTTTATTTAATATTAGAGTTTTCATTCAATAATTTAAGATGTGTGAATCATTTTCCTATGCAAGTAAAGAGATTTATTTTATTTAATATTTTTAAAGAAATGTATTTCCCTAATAATATCATATTAAACAATTTAGTGATAGAAAGATGTCACATCATACATAGTAATTTGTGATTAACAACAATATTGTAAAACTAATTACTTTATTTATCTAGTATTTTCTCTATCTTTTAATATAGAGAATTATACCGCTATCATCTCTTATATTAAAATGTACGATTCAGTCAATTTAGCTTAACGTTGTTAAGGTAAATTGCACCCCCTTTACTAATAGATGTAAGTATTATACTACTCATTCTTCGTGTATTAAAATATAAAAAAAATTACACTTTTATTTCTTAGATATTTAAGTGTTATACTATCACTTTTCTATTATATTAATTTAAAATATTTAACTTAACATCAATAAAAAATAATCATTATAAAATTTTAAAAAATATATTTAATTCATTGTCATTCATTAACTTGATTAAAAATTTGTAAATATATATAATTAAATTTAAATTTTATTAAAATAATAAATAAAACATGAACTATAAAATAAACTATATATGTATAATTATATATATATATATATATATTAAATTTTTTAATTATTTTTTTTTATTTAATAATAAATTATTAATATGAATATAATTATTTAAAAATTATATATTTAATGTACATATTTTACCGTTATATTAATTAAACATAATAAATAATACTTTATCATAAAACACTAATTTATTTAGATATTATTTTAATATTTTATTAATATAAGTTAAATAACATCTTAATACTTATATATATCACCTTTAATATATATAATTAATACTCTATAATAAAAATATTATGTTTTTTAAACTTTATAAAAATATTACATTAACTATATCTATTAATTATTATCTTAATACTTGTTTTGATTTTATTATATTTATATATGTATATATTATTTTTATTTTGATATATAACTTTAAAAATAATTTATAAAAATAATAATCTTTTTTAAAAAAATATATAATTAATTTTGACAAAATTTATAATAACTTTAAAATAAAAATTAAATATATAAATCAAGAGATAAATTGTTAAAGTGTAACATATTTAAATTTGTTAAAGAAAAAATGTTTATTTTAACAAAAGAAGAAAAGATGATGTAATATTTACATATTTGAGATGTTAATGTAAAAAGTGTTTTGTTAATACCATTATTATAACGAAATTAACAGAACTTTTACAGAAAATAAAAAAAATGAGTAAAATATTATATATGAATTTGTCAAAGAGTATCATATACCATGGAATATTATTTTTAATTAAAATTTCTCAATTTAACTTGATGATGAATATAAAAGAATAAGAGTTAGATACACATTAAACTTATAATCAAGAAATAATTATATATTTAAATAAATATATATGACATATCTAATGAGAGGGTTTCTTATGTGAGAATGAGAGGAGTTAATTTCAACTATTGGATCAAAAACACCACCATTTTGAAGAATATTCTATAACCTCTTAATTAAAGAAAATGCAATGATATGTGGTAATGTCAAATTGTTAGTAAAATTAAGAATTATACTTATAATATACTTCATGTGCATTAGATAGTTGTGGAAAAGGTATATAACAATAAACACATTTATGTTTTTTGGATTCGGTGCTTTTGACCCCAAAACCTTACTAATGCTTTGCCAACTTCTCACTGTGGATTCAATGTTTGTTTATCATGACCAAGGTTTATTAAGACAAGTAGTGACCCTTTCCAAATGAGCATGTGAAGACAGTTATAATTGGTAAAAAAATATTATTCTCTTAAACTTGGTGATGTGTGGTTGCTATGGCAATTTGTATTATCTAGTTGCAAGCGGAGGGGAGGTAGAATTTGATGGGTGCACAATTTTACTGGTGGATGTCGAAGAAACTTAATATTGTTTGGAGAATTCAATAAGAGCAATAGAAAGGAAATGCAAAAAAAAAAAAAACAGTTTTGAAAAATTAAGAAGAGTAAAAAAAAGAGACTGTCAAGATATGTTTTCTATTGTTTTAAGAATTAAGAAAAGAAATAGAAAGAAGAAAGATGATATCTTTCTATAGTTACTAAAATAGAGAAACATATAAATTATTTAATGAATAATTAAATTCGAGTCATTAAATTTAATTTAATGATTAAAATTAATTCCTCTCACTTCTACATAAGAAACCTTTTTTCTCATATTATATATATATATATATTACAAAGACGTGCAAAGAAGTCAATCATATTTTCTAGTCAACCTTAAATAAACAATAGACGATCTTTAATCACATGTACATACCTGCCGAGATTATCGCCAGCATAGGATTTTGAATGCTATAAATATTATCCCAAAGGCATGCTACCTTTTTCATAGCCATTTTCATACAATATTTTGTTTTGTGTGAAAAGAAATGACTATTGCAGTTGAAATGAAGTATCTTATTGCTGTTTGCGTTATCTTTTGGACATGTGCATATCAAGCCATGTCTCGAACGTTGCATGAGTCTTCTGCTACTGAATTACACGAGCAATGGATCACACAACATGAACGGTCTTATGCTAATGATGCAGAGTAGGCCTGTGCAAAAATTTCCGGCCGATCCGAAACCGTAGCATGTTGGTTCACAATGAAAGCCATGTGTTCAGAATCATTAGAACTATGTGTAATGGCAATTTCTTTCTGAGCTTCTTCTTGAAGAATTAGGGAAAAAACGTTACCAATTGAAGGAAGAGGATCAGAGAGTAAGATCTGACCACGGATTGAAGTCCTCCACAGGTGCACTGAAAATTTGGTTTGTAACCAGCTAATTCCTCCCATATTGATTTCAATTTGGTGTAGTATGTGCTGACATCATTTGATCCCTGTTGCAGAGACATCAATTGGCGCCTGAGTTGAAATATCTGAGGTCCATTATTTCTTGAAAATCTTGTTTTCAAGTCATCCCAAATCTATTTTGCAGTGGTTGCAAAGAGAATACTCGTGATTATATCCTTTGAGACAGAGTTATAGAGCCAAGATATAACCACATTATTTCCACGGTTCCAAGCAGCGAAGGTAGAATCTGTGGCAGCGGGTTTCGGGAGGGTTCCGTCTATGAAGGCAAGCTTGTTCTTCACGGAGAGAGCCACATGCATCGCACGACTCCATGTGGTATAGTTTTTGTGATCAAGAGGCTGAGAGGTGAGAACAAGCCCGGGTCCATCCGAATGATGTAGGAAGAGAGGGTTGCTTGGATCTTGAGTAGGATCTTTCGTTTGTGTTGTCATGTTGCCATGTTTGAGTTGATTTGTTCTGATACCATATTAGAAGTATGAACTTCTTGTGAACAAAGAAAATGAAAGATGCAATAAGATCAGCCACAGTGAAGGGAAGCAAAAATGAATTGATCTGAATTAATGTCTGAACAGTACAATACAAGGAGTCTATTTATAAATAATTCATAACCATATATAAAATATTTGATAACCTATAATAGCCGGTAAACCTGTAACATAATCCAATAGTTCCCCTTCTCCTCTTTTGTTCATGTCATTCCTCACTTAAACAGTCCTTGATTTCCATGAACTTAAAAGTAAAATTAATTTAATTAATTTGGGACTAAAGTGAAAAATATAATAGTATTAGTATTAAATTGTAAAATGATGGCATAGTCTAAATGACATAATAAATTTGATCGATTGTATCAAAATCCTATAAATATGATCGGGTAAAATAGTAATTCTTTAATTGTTATTCATACTTTCATAATTGTTCTTGCTAAAAATATCAAATGAAAATATTTTAGACTTAAAATATTAGTGTTTAATATTTCTTGTGAAAAATCTTAAACCTTAAATATATTATAATATAAGTTATTTATCAAAAAATTAAAATATGTTTTATAGGTTAAATATATTTATTTATAAATTTTAATTATAATATAATTAATATATTTAAAAATGTTTATTTATTATAAATTTTAGTTATATAAAATAAATATCTATCTTGCATGATAATAAAAATCACGTGTTAATTAATATCTTTCATTACGTTTACACGAATGAATAAATAGAT